TTTTCAAAGGGGCCTTTCACCTCGAGACATCCCTGCGAGAGGAGAAGCCTGGCGCCCCGAGCCGGAATCTCAAGCAAAACATCTTCAAGTTCTGGCCTTTGGAAATTTTCGGGTCCTGTGTAAGACTGTATAGGATTCCTGCAGAAGTTCTTTTCTGGGAATATCTTGCAGAGTAAGATGAGGCTACACAGGGGTCACTTGGGATATTGCAGGATTTCCAGTAACCAGTGGATCCAGAAAAGGTTGCTTTCTTAAGGCTCGCTCGGCAATTTGAGACGGGGGCCCTTTGACAGAATTGGTGGCAACCCTGAGATACGGTCGATGATTTAGTACTGCAACTGCTTGTACCTCAGTTACTTGGGTCCTGTGTCTGTCTTGAAGTAATCTATGCTCTCGATTAAGTAGGGCGCCCCCGCGGCCCCCCCCGCCCCCAGAAAAGCCTCATTATTTCATGGGCCCCAGATGCCAGACGGAGAATTCAATTGTAAGTAACGTCCATGAAACCCCCGAATGGGCTCTAACTAAATGTTCATATAAGTTCAATTGAAATCCATTTGAATCTTGTTAACTTGGACTCATTTTTTTTAAAGGGTTTGGGGACAATTTTCTTTAAATCCAAATTTTCGGCCCTGCCTTTAAAGTAGTCTTTGACCCCCTATTTCGGCCCGAAGAATTTTCTTTAAATCTAAGGGTTTTATTAATGAAGAGCACGGATTATTGTACGCTTTGCACAAGACACGGCTTCATGGCAGTATGAACCCTTCCTGCTTTTGGGTCACACGCAGAGCTAGGATATCCACGGGCATGCGGCAGACGCCCCGTGATCCTTATATACTTCATTTTCCAGCGCGAACGTCTGATGTTTTCACAAGAGACCATTGCTTTCAAAGGAAATCTTTGAGAGCGCTGTGACTCCAAGGCGCTAAGAAGAAGCAGGGTGACAAGAACTCGCGGCAAAGATTTCGCCAGGCCATCCCATCTGCGCGCTGCCGTGGGAAGGTGTACCCTAGGGCAAGCATTTGTTCAATCAATCCAGGAAAGATTCTGTTTACACACTGGATCTGATAAAATTTGTTCCCTGATGCCCCAAATCCTCAGTGCTGACATTTCCAAGGGCGCGTCCAAGCGCGACACCTTTCCATGGATCAACAGCCAAATCATCTCAGTTTCAGAGTCCGCGCCCTAGAGTCTGGAGCTCGCTTGACACGGACTTCGTCGGCGTCCTCTCTGCTGTCGCCCACGTAGCAGTAGAAGCAAGAGCAGTGGAGGAGGCAAGATGCAACAAGAAAAGTATCAAAGCAGTAAAAGAGGAAGAGGAGGAGCATGAGAACCAGGAGGTGGAGGAGGAAAAGGAGGAGGACGGCAGAAGAAGCAGCAGCATCAGGATGGACATCAACAGGAGCAGCAGAAGCAGAATATAGCGGGATGACCATTTCGTATTAATCACTACGTCCGCGGCTGTGCTGGTTTATGACAGCCAATGCGCATCGGCTAAGGTCTGGAAACCTTCTTGAGCTAGCCACGACCATCGAGGCACCCATGCGCAACGTCGACAATTTGCCAAACCATTTTTCGCTCGGAATTCAACTAGCAACTGGGGAAGGCCTATGTGTCCCAGATGAACCTTGTGAACATCTCCACCGCGTACTGGGCTCAGCCTTCGGGACCTGACTGTGTGCTCTTGTTGAATGCTCATTAGAGCTGGTTTGGTCTCAGGTTCCACAGAATAGCGCGACTTTGGACCACCAACGAAGACCAAGAAGCCGCAATGACGGTGAAGAATGTCGTCCAGGCTCTCTCTTGTTTGCTCCTTCTTTCGCCAATGAGGAGTCGTTGCACAATCACACGTGTTTTACCCGAGTGGTCTCCGTAACTTGGAGGTGCAGGGAGTCATCGTTCTCAGTTTGAGAGGTCGTCATGGGCCTTGGCCATGTTTGTGTACAGGTAAGGATATGCCTAAGGATGGTCGCATCCCGTACTAGAAGTACGACACTGAAAGCTGCAGGAATTTGTAGCTGTATAAGAATAACATTCCTATTTTCAGGGTTGAATGGTTTGACACAAGGTCCCTGCCCCACCTACAACAACCCAATTCCCAGAGAGCTATCGGTAACTGCTCGACCAGGCCCTCATAAACCAGGCCAACACGGTGCTAGCGCGTGCCAGGGCCTTCAGCTGTGATGGCTTTCAGCACTCGTGACCAACAATAAAAAGGGCTTTTTCCAGGCCCTGCATGTCCTGACTTTCGTAGACCGGGATCGACGTAGATTTTGGAGAGCTGGTGAGATTATGTTTTGGCACTAATTGCCACCCCTGAACCCTGGTTTGGGTCTGTGATGGGCTGCTCTGCACAGCTGGCAGAATCTTCCAACCAACTGCGCCTGCGTAAGCGAAAAGCCCAAACGCGTAAGCTTGCACATTTTTGTTGCGTCGGTTTCAATATGCGAGAGCCCGCGCTACTTCAATTCTAACATGGTTTTGGCAGAACCATGCAACACAGGTTTTCCACATGCTCCTGAGCTCTCCTCGATTTGAATTGAGACCCCAGTTCTGATTGTTGCACATTAGCTTCTGAGAAGTTGGATAGGGATTTTGCTGAATTTGGACGGAACCCTGCAATCTCACCAACGATTGTGAAGGCATGGCATGTGCACTAGCAGACTAGCAGCTTCACTAGCAATCACGCCTACTACTCATACTGACATTCCAAGTGGCAGTTGTGGTTCCTTGATCGAGAGTTACACAGTCCTCTGTACTTCATGGTACGCAGAGATACAATTCCATCTTCGGAGGGTACCCGTCCTACCCGCAGGGATCATCCTTCAAACCCTGACCTTTCACTCTGCCCTGACGGTAGATTCGAAAGCAAACCCTGCAGACCTCACAAACTCTGAAATTGAGGCGCGGGCCAGCGGAACAAAGCCCTCCGCACAGGCTCCACAAGCAAGGTTACATAGGGGTCTATAGGGACATTTCGGGCTTGGGGTGTAGGATTTGAGGACTTCTCCGAGTGGGTTGCTTGCGGGGGCCAGCAACGGCTTCCCAACATAGAGAGACTAGCTGGAGCTTAATTTCGACAAACAGTTGGAAAGGAAGTGGCCGGGGTAGAGCCAGTGCAGTTGCACAACTTCTGCAGTTTGACACGAAACAAGTTTAGGCTGGAACTGAAAAAGTCTGTCGACCTTAGCTTCTACTCAAATTCTACCTCGTCTGGAAGATGGCATTCTGTGCTGGCTCAAAGGTGACACGGGTACAAACAGAGTCACATGATCCATTTTGGATGACTGTCGCAGGCAGGGCAGCGTACAGCGTATATGAGGAAAATACCTAGGACCTAGATGGAAATTCTACAAGGTGGAACCGTCAAGTGGAGGCTTCAGCTCAAACCAATCCCTCGATTTTAGGCGCCCTTCCGAGAGCTCGGGGCTTTCTGGGCGGCTTTTTCATGTTATTGCACTGGAACAGAGTTTCTTTCAGCCAGAAGCCATGTTTTGCAAACATTAAATCGCGAAGAAGGGCCCTGAAGCTTGTTTGCGCACGCATGCGCGCTAGAGGCCCCGCTTCTGCGGAAGGTTGAAGCGGGTGATAGTAAATTTAGCCGCTTTCAAGACAGCCATCCCCATTCCAACGTGCCTCTTCAACCTCGAAATCGTCAAGGGCCTGCGACAAGCCTCTGCAAGTTACTTAGCTCAAACAACATCTCTTCCGCGTTGCTGCCAGCAGGGAACTTTAAGCTGTGCACTAGACACACTTAAGGGTTTGTTGCTACCAGTCAGGGACTACAGCAGCATGCAGTGTGGTCACCCAAAATTGTTCGTACCACCTTTGAATCAAAAAGAAAGGAGATTGGCTAAGTTGCTTCCAGGCGTTGGCCAACATAACCTGGGCCATGGTCACCCTGAATGCCATGGATGAGAACCTGCTCCAGGCATCTGGGAGGTTCTACAACCATACAACAGCAAGACAGGGGGTTAGCTGGCTGATGCTGCTTGTGTGCTGCTGGTTGAGCGCTCTCGTGGAAGCTGCGTGGTTTTCAGCAGGAGACAATGTGAATTTTTGGTAACCTTGCCCAGGATGTTACCCATGGCTCTTCTAGCAGACAAGCCCGAGATCCCTCCAGCCACAGAAAAGAGGTCTGAGCGCGTGGAAATACACTCTTTGATGGTATCTTGCACTCATCTCCCGTGGATCCCTGAAGCAGGGACCCCTGTAATTTCCCAGGCTCCCCCTCGTTTCCGGCAAGCTTAGAAGCCATGGTCCTGGCCTTTGGCGCCTTCCTGGCCCTCGGCGGCCTGAGCTCCCTGGCCCTTGGGCAGCCGATTTCGGAAGAGCAACTCAAGACGGCCATGGCCACGCGGCTGCAACTGCAGTAGTCTTAGGGATTGGGCTGCTGGTTGGCGTCCATCAAGCAACAGTTCGGCGGGGTTTCGGGTGTTTTGTAGGCTCACGTGGGTTTGTCTAAGAATATCTAGGGACTCTAGGGAATGGAAGGGGAGTCCAGGGTCTCTCAAGATTTGGGTCTGCTTCACAGGTTCTTGCAATGCTGGTTTGGAGTACAGTCCGACCATTATCTGCAGAAACTTCCATATGCATGTGGGTATAGTGCTAGGGGAATTAGCTGATTGTATGCGCATTACAGCGAGCATGAGGCTCCTCGTGCACAGAGGAACCAGCTTTTAGTACGAGACCTTGCACGGTGCCGGTCTCTAAAGTGGGGAACTCAAACTACTTGCGGAGTGAGGGTCTCTTGATAGCTCTGCGCCCGATGAAACAAGTGCGGTTTGTCCTGAATTCTTTACGAAGGATGCCACGGGCTTGTCATGAGAGTATAATACAGTATTACGTACATGGCAGCGGTGGATGGGAAGGCAGCTAACGGCGGTCGGAGTGGAATGGTCTTCCCGATGTAGACACCTTCTAAGCCCACGCACTTCGGACCATGAAGCCGGGGCTTGTTTTGCACTTCCCTGTGCGCTCCTTAGGCGAAGGTTGCGGACCAGATGCGGGAGCCGACCACAACAAACAAATGAGATCTTATAGTTCCGAGCTCCGAATCGAGTTGATTCACATCATTATTGAGCAGGGTGCTGAACCTGGGGTCCTGAGTTGGTTAATTATCAGGATGTGAAGAGGGGTCTGGTAGCAACCGCAGCTACTTGCAGATCCGTTTGCTTTTGAGTACAGGGCTAGCTCTAGATGTTGCTGTGAATCCGTACCTGCTGAAAAGCTGTCTTTGCACCGCCAGGACAAATATGACATGGGCCTCGCAGCTGCCTTCCACTCCCCAAACATGTCCTTTAGCGTGGCCTCGGGCTACACCGATGGAGGCGCTTGAGAGCGAAGTCTTGAGGCTGAAGCCTACATGCATTTTCAGCAGTCTATTCAAAGATCCAGACGCTGGGGCCCCAAGGCCCGAAGCCCGCTAGCCCTTGAAAAGCCAGGTAGGTTGGTAGGAGGATTCAGGCCTGAGTCCTGCAGCAGCCTCATTTCATTGTCAGGACATGTAAGGACCAGCTTAGGAATGTACAGGGACGTGTGCCAACTAATGCATGGGCACAACCTTGCTTGCGGTACCCTGGTCCTCCCCTCTAAGTGCACTTACGTCGGCCCAAGCAAGCTTCCCCGATCCCCTGACCGTATTGCCTTCCGTTACCGGGGAATACAGGAATGGACTCCAGAATCATAATTCTCCACATCACCAGTGAACCAACCATCCTGCATTCAGTACGAACAAGAGGCAAGCTTGACGCACCCTGGAGTTGCACAGCTTGCCCTTGGCTCTCCCAAACCTTGGTTGAAGCGAGCCTCTGAGAGGATACCTCTGTTTCTTTGTAAATGCTTTTCTGGTGCTTGAACTTATCTGTCCATGACTATCCTTACTGCTGGAAGTGCTAGAGGTCGTCTTAGCTTGTTTGAGTGCTCTCTAGAGCCCAACTATCCAACAACATTCTCTCCCAAAGCCCAATGAGCCAAATCTCTGCCTCCTAAGCCCTCTACTGTAAGCCTCAAGCACAGGCCTTGGCCTTGGGCACAAGACGCGCCCTGCACAGCCAGACGACTTGTATGCTGCCAGGCTTTGCGTGTCGAGTTTGTTTTTCTTAGGTTTTCTATCTTAGCCTCTTCAGGACCCTTTCCGTAAGTAGTTGGGTGGTGCTAGCTGTGTATACTGCAGGTTTCCCATGAAAAAGCACAGGTTTAAAACAGCATCCTACTCCGCGACATTCTGTTCCAAATCAAACTCCAAGGTCTGGGGGTCCACGACAAAGATGATCACTGCGCCAGCTGTACTACAGCTGTTCGAGAGAGGCCTGGTGAAGCTGACGGACCCCATCAGCCTCCACATTGACCCGATCCTTCTGCATCTGAACGGCACACGCTTGGAGAGCCACTTCGGCACTGCGATCCATGCTGTGCAAATCCAGCACCTGCTTCACATGACCTCCGGCATCCAAGACTATGATGGCGGTGCTTTTTCGGCTGCGCAGTTTGCCAATCGATCCAAGGCCTTCGGGCCGGTGGAGATCGTGACCCGCTTCGTAAGCCCAACTCTGCAATTTTCTCCAGGAGAGCATCAGGCCTACTGCAGCACGAACTACATTCTTTTGGGCCTTGTGCTTGCCACGCATTATCATCGGGCTGGCAGCGACTGGAGCTGGCAGGACTACGATCAAGCAAGCGTCGTGCCAGCCGCTCTGCAAAAAGCTTTCAATCATTCCCTGTTCGTGATGCAGGGGCCCTGCAGCAAGTATACGCCCGTACACGGCTTCATGGGCTTCTACCCCAGTGCCCAGCTCCCGAAGCAGGATGTGTGGGATGTCAGCTGCCTGGGAGGCTGGACTGCAGGAAATTATGTTGGCTCTGTGGCCGACATAGCCCGATTTACCTACGAGCTGTACAACACGAAGGAACCTAAGAGCCTTGCTTGTAGTCTAGAATTCTTTTAGTTACGAACTTTGCTTGGTCGCGACTGGGCCGACTTGGATTGCAAGCTTTACCCATTACTCAACTGCAAGATTTGGGTTCACTTGATGTCATTGAAATGCAATCGCTTCGCACTGACTGTCCGCCTCGGCCCGGCATGGCGCGGAGGAAGGAGATGGTGGACATCTGTTGTTAAGGACAGGTTCTAGTGTGTCGGGGTCCCTTCCGATCGGCCCATCGCGGGTCTGGGCAAGGGAGATTGCGGGTTCAGGGGTCCTTTAGATTTTTGGAGCAGACTCTTTTTGAGGTCCTACTATATTTGACGGCAGTGCAAAACACCTAGATGGCTTGGGCATGCAGGTATCCGGAGTTGTTACCAGTCGTGGCATCGCCAGGTAAAGCATGGGAGGAAAGGGCCTTGGCCTTGCCTTCCGAAAATTGCGGGGGCGTTTGGGCACCCATGATTTTGGCATTTGGGCGTCAGCGCAAGAACTGTTTCATCATGACACGAACTACTCTCATTCCTTCCCCACTTGCAAAAGATCGAAGGACATCCTGAAGTTAAAGTATCGGTAGTTTCCATTTTGCTTACCACTACGAACCCCGTACATAAGATCAGCTTCCATTTCAATATCAGGGTTGTCTATCACCTTTTTTAAATGTAGTATTGGGGTAGTGCCCATTTCCAACACTGAGGATCATCTCAGCGAAGTCGCAGGCGCACTTGACAAACTTCACAGCCCCAGGCATGAGCTGCTTTGCTGGATTGAAATATTCGGGCAGGATCCCCATTGTCCTAAGTCATGGAAGGTGTAACAGCAATAACAAGTAGTTATCAGAGCAATCCCGAGCGTGCAGTCATGATGACTCGTGACTACAACAGGAGAACCTAATCACAGTTTGCGAAGTGGAAACGCGGGATTCTGAAACCAGTTTCCCATTGACTATACAGACAGCTCAAAGTCATCCATCTGTTCGCGTTCCGCGTTCTGTCTCGACTACAAAGCCTGCATGCCCAAACGCCATTTTTTTAAAACACCCCTCGAGTCTGCAAGCTGTGATTCAATGCGTATTAATTGAAGCCCTGCAAAGGCAGTTTCAAGTTTTATGGTATGGGAACCTTCAACTTGGACTGGAGCGTCGGCGCGGATGCCTACGGCCACGTGGGCGACACCTACGGGTACCAGTCGCAGACCACCTACATTCCTGGTCTCCTGGGCTGCATTCTTATAGTCCTGACTGAAGAAATAGTGTACTTGTACCCCTCATGTTATTGGAATGTAGCTGTAGAGCTCCAGTGACCAGCATGCATCTTCATCCTCCACCGTTTCGTCATTAGCATGATCATCACAGCCTTCGGCATTGTCCTGATCCTGCTCCCAATCTTTATCCTGATCCTTATCTTTATCCTCATCCTCAGCATTGCTGGCACAAAAATCTCGGTTGCTGCAATGGCTCTACACTTGTGATTGCTATTGCCAACGGTCCAGCTGTACTTTTTTTGTATAGCGTTGCAAGCAGCATTGGAATAAGCAGCACGGCCGTATTGTATCATGACTGACTGCTAGGCTGTGGGCAAGGGCTTGAGCTTCTGAGTTGCGGTTGGCCAGGCCTTGAAGGACTCAGAGGTGGAGCAGGGTGTGAAGTACATGGTCTGGAGTCTAGCTTTTGGTGCGTTCCAGCAGCGTAGGTAGCTTGAAGTCCGTAGGTTGCGCAAGGTACTGTTGAAACTGCGCTGGCGTGTGCCACGCGATTCCTTTCATCAAGATCGTAGACATAGCTTTCAGATGGGTTGAAGTCAGCAAACAGGTATGCATACAAGTTAATTACTGTCCGCGAAATCTTGACTGCTGCATCTCAGGCTTCGACTTTGTGATCTCAGAGCCTTGCAAGCATCATGAATGGTGTTTTGGTAATGGGACGGCCCCTTCTCTAGGTTTAGCCAAGTCAGCTCATGTAAGTTGATATGGTATTTGCGGCTGTGCAACTGCAGCGGTCCGCTTCGTGCATTATGTGCAAGGCAAGAGAAATGCAGCACCGAAATTAGATCTTTCAAAGTTGAAGCTGCCCGATCTGTACGGTTCTGATGCGCTGGCCTCAACTAGGGGCTGCAAAGGACATCATTCAAAAATTCCCGGCACGACCTCGGACAAGTGGTTGTGGTTACCTGACCTGAGCACAGCATCCATGTAGGGTCTGAAGTGGAAAGCGCCAAGCCCATAACCTTCATATCCTCAAACCATCCCAAACCTTTGAACCCTGCACGAGGTGGCCACGAATGTGGAGACCGAGAAGCAGGCCCAGCCTGCTGACTTCACCTGCCACGCCTACCACCAGCTGAAGGCAGCTTGGGTTGTCGCAGTTACATCGTGTTGTGGCTGCAGAACCTCGTTTACACGCCTCTCATAAAGGAGGTTTGCGGCTTTGTTGACACAGTTGGTTTTCAATCGCTGACGATTTGGAGGTGGAGTTTGTTTTCGTGAGCAGCCTCTCCAGCACTACTGACCACTCACTTGCAAGTAGAACCACGAAGTGTTCGACCCGGGACGTAATACTGCAAGAAACCAGTTGCACTGTTGCGGCCTAGTTTGCTGTAGTGATCGTAGTGTCAACAATCTCCCCAATGTTAAGTAACATTGCCCCAAACGCAAGGAACCCGAAAGCCTAAATCACGCAGCCTGAAACAACTGGATTTGTTTTTGAGATTGAGGCAGTGCTTACTGGAACCCGAGCTCCACATTGCACCTTCGTGGCGACTCGACCCATTTTTGTGAAGGTTTTTACTTGCTCACGTTTGGGTCGGGAGCTGTTCAAATTCTGCCATGGCTTTTGGGGCTTGGGCGCGGGGAGCCTGACGTTGTATGAACTGCTGCAGAATTCTTGAAATTGGGACTTCCAAAGCCATGTTGCCATTGCATACTGTATTCTCGAAGCGCGAGACTGTGAGAACTGTTTTGATGGCCTGGCCCCATCGGCGGTTGAGTAGAATCTGCTGGAAACGGGGAATCCACAGCAAAGCTGATGTTTGATTTTCAGTGGGATCCCCTCGCTTTATTGCGCCCTGCAGTGCGTCCTTGAATGTGTGCCGCTCAGTTGAGGTGCCGCAGCGGCTACGTGGCAGCTGAAGCTGAGGGGTTTGCTGGGAAATTATCTAAAGAAGCTTGAGGGTTTTGCCTTCTGCCACCCTGACATCTATACTGCTTGGGAGTCGATACGCTTTCAACAATTGCCAAAAATAATAGCGAACTCCGAACACATGATCTCGCTCACGGCTTGCCGGGCTACGGCTCCATTCATTCCCTGCTGATGCCAAAGATGTTGAGGGGATTCTTCGCTCCGAGCTTCGATGCAAAGGTTCAAGGTCAGGCTGTGCTTTTTTGTCAGGCGAGTCAGGCTCGGTATGCAGAAGAGTACGTGCCATGCTTTGTCTTGCTTTTGCTTTTGAGGTTTGGCATTTAATTTGGTAGGTACCAAGAAAATGTTGTGGTGAGGTGGAGTGACACAGCAAGCTCCCTCAAGCACAGCTGAGGTTCATTGGCAAATGCCTCTGCATGGGCGAGTCTGAAGTGATTGTCTAGCACAGTCTCGCACTTTTGGGCCTGCCATGGACAGCATGCTTGGTGCATCCGACAGGGCCAGTCTCTCCTGGGCGCAGCCCCGAGCCAGCAAAGCGCGCGCGGCCGGTGTGCAGAAAAGTAAGCTCGACTGCTGCGCAAACAAGAGGCATTTCTCGTCAGTCTTGCTACTGATCCGCCTGATACTGCCTGAAGAGGCCATTGCTACGCCAGCGCAGGGCCAGGCTGGGAAGACCACAAAAGTCCGAACGACCCATCTTCTGCTTTGACTCTCAGCCTAACCTAGTCGGCTAATCTGCCTGCGCCCTGGATGGTTGAGACGGATCTCCATATCAACGGCCAGTCAAGTTGTGGACTTAAGCAAGATGTTGTGATGGTCTTGATGTGTGCCCTTTTGACAGGTAAAGAATTTCAAGCCCTTTGAGCTGTCGACAATTCTCTGGTGCGCCGCATAGAAGGATGCGAAGCTTAATGAAGGGTGCAGGTTCTCTGGCTTTTGGGTCTTGATGCAATGGCAATCCCACACTGGCAAAACACTGCGATAGCATCCGTGTATGACTTATGATTCAGACATTCTACGTCCTGCGCCACGTTCTCCAAGGGTCGGTACGGGGTTCCTGTGAGGGACTGTTGTCAGACATGCCAAGCGGTCACCGCGTTGTGACTCTGGGCATATGGCTGCCATAGCGTTAGGGAGGCTGGTGAGCCTATGTCAGCAGCTTCCATTATTCATGGGGAGAGGCGCGCAGGCACTTGACATTCCAAGCCACATGGACAAGGGCATGCTCAACATCTTCACATGGTACCATTATGTACCCCTCTATTGTATAATCCTTACTACAGGTACCTCCGACAAGGCCCCCGTAAACTTTGGAAAGCCCTAATCCTCTTAAACAATTAGCTAAAATTATTCTTCATTATCAGGGTCATTATTCATTCCCGTATAATCCCCATGCCAAACCCATATCCCTATATACCCTGTATAGCCTCTGTAAAGGCTCACCTCCAGGATGACTTGGTAGTTTCCCTAAATAGGGGGACCGCAATATAGACCCTCTAAGATATTATAATCCTGATCATGGGGACCCCCCAAAAAGATAGCCTCTTTTGGGAAACCACCCATTTTGGAGGGAGGTGGATCAACAAATCAAATAAGTATCACAAAAAATCAAATAAGGATCAATAGAACATCGGGTGAGGATCAATAGAAAATCAAAATAGGAGGGGAGTCCTATGGCAGGAAGAAGGGAAGGATTAACAAAAACGTCAAAATATTCTGTTGAGAGGGAATTAAATGGGAAAACCTGTATCAGGCAGGAAGGAAGGAAGTAAAAGGAAGGGAGTACAAGGAAAACTGGAGAAGGAAGGAAGGAAGGAAGGAAGGAAGGAGCCCTGTCGACATGTATCATCATATTCCATCACTGCGCCCGGAGCCTCGGCTAGAGGCCGAAATCCTGGAGGCCTCGAAGCCCCCGAAAACCCTTGCTGCAACCAAAAATATCATGTCACCAGTAAGGGAGAGTTATGCAAGATCATTTTGTTTCCAAAGAGGGGCCGGCTGCGCGCCCCCCAAATCCCCCTGACTGTTTTTAATTCCATCCATGCTTCATTCTCCTGCCATTTTTTTGGTTTTCGTAATTGCATCATTTTCATAATTTTCCATGAATTTTCATAATTTTCATCATCTTTCTATATTTTTCAAAATTCATTTTCATCATTTTCAATAATTTCCATAATTTTCATCATTTTGCAATCTTTTCATTATTTTTCATCATTTTACTTTCATTTCATTACTGGTATCTTCCATAATTTTTCATTAATTTCCATGACTTTTCATTATTTCACATCATCTTTATTAATTTTCCATCATTTTGGATAAGCTTTCTGGCGTTTCAGGAATTTTCTATCATTCTCATTATTCTTCATGATTTTTCATTATTTTCATCATTTTATCATTCTCTTTCATGTTAATAACTTTTTTTTAAAAAAAAATCTTTTCGCTTGTTTTTCATCATTTTCAAAATTGTCTTTGATTTTCCAGTATTTTTCTCGCTTCCGCTGGCGCACCGCCACGTGGTGGAAGTGGGCATGGTGGAACTTGGCCACCATGTCATAAGGGCAGTTACTACAATATCGGGCGTAAGCCGACCGGTGATCCTGCTGCACGCCCTGCGGTGCTGTCCAGGCATGCGCGATGGTGGGGAGATGCCCCAAAAGAGCCTCATTGGGCCTTGTTGGCGCAATGGCAGCTTAGCAGGGCGTTACAGAGCCACCTTTGGAACAAGGCTCAGGCGGATCGGGGATTAACGCCGCTTTGGGGCAGGATCTGGTTAAGGTTCTAGGCGCGAAAAAGGCCACTAGTCGTAAGGGTTATAGAAAGTGTTTCACGTGCAAAAAAAATGCGCTGTGCAGTGGAGGACGGTCCGCGAGATGCGTGCTCGGGCGATGCGCAAGTGACCAGCGAGCTAAGTCCTTGACTGATAAGTGGCGACGCTGCCCCAGAGTCCTGCATGCGCTCAGGGCTCACTTGAGTAATGCGGGCTATGCTTCACGGAGGCTTCCAACGCTGCTGGCAGATCCGCGGCGGCCTGGTGGTGGCTGTCAGGTCTAGCAACTAGCATGTCTGGGGGGTTCCTCATCACATTGTCCTTTGATCATTGTGTGGATGCTTCTTATGGTGCCGTGCAGATGCCGGGGACTTGCCTTTTTTCGTTGGGGATTTTAATGTGGAACGGGGGGAGCGGTGCGTGTCTGTGTGTGTGTGAGCTCACCGTGCACGCTACCACTGACGAGGAGTAGCGCCAACTGCTGCCGACTTGGTGGGATGGACACCGATTCATTGACTTCCTCATTGCCCACCCTTTGCTTCGGCTTGCGCAGTCTGATTTCAGGAGGTAGGAGATCATAGGACTGTGGGAGCTGGGGTTGCAAGTTGATACCAGGCCCTCATGTTGCCGCACATGCGCGTACCTCCAGCCTCTCGAGGCATCCCTTGCGGAATGGAGGGACGCCGTTGCGCTGCACTGGCGCGACAGCATCAGTCAAGGCGCGCTGAGGAGGAGTGTAGCCTTTTAATGCCATTGCCGAAGGCGCCATGGCGAGGGCTTACGCGCAATGGGCGCCATGTCCCAAGCCAGCATCAAGGCTTTTACGCCAGCGTTTGTGCAGCAGTTCGACAGCACCTCTCGTCAAGGCTTACCGCAGTTCAGTCAGCGACGCGTGGCTAACTTCCCGGGAAGGGTTCATGAGTTGCGACGTCAGCTGGTGGCAGGGCGCAGCCCGGTTGCCTTACCAAGCTGCGCAAGATCCACCCACTGCGCCAACACTTCCGGCCTGCACCACGGCGCCGCATTGCAGGGCCTGCGTCAGCCCATGGCCAGCGACCACTCCGGGAGCGTGGGAATCGACGTCCGGCCCAGTACATCAACCCAACTCTACCCCCCGTATTATCCTGGTGTTATTTTGCAAGGGGACGTACAAGAGGGTTCCTATAGTTTTTGGAATTTTAACGTGTGCCACGAAGAAGCTCGCCTGCGAGTGAGTGCCAGTGCAGAGTTGAAACTTCAGCTGTTGTACCCTTACGGCGAAGCAATCTTTCTTCAGCAATGATGTGTAAGGTTTTTTTGATTTTTGTCATCAGCTATAGTCAGATCCCCAGTTTCAAAACCGTGCATTTTCTGTTCAACTTTCAAGATGTATGTGCCCAAATCTTCCCCTAACCTCGCGGGCCTTTCACCTTCAGCCCTTGGAGCCTCCAACCAAAGATTGGGACTGGCGACCTCGTGCGCCTGACGTAACCACTTGCTGATTTCACACCTCCACACTTATGGGCATGGGCGTCATGCGGCCATGCAGTTATACCGGACCCGGTGCAGCGGCCAATATGGTGGAACCCCATTGTTCAGCTGGGGACGTGAGTTGGGGAGGTGAGGTCGCGGTTCACGTCTTGGGGGCGTCGATGGGGAGCATGAGATGGGATCAGGGGGGGGACAAGGGGAGGTTCAAACACCAGATTCGTGAGTCGTTGGGGAGAGCATGTGTCGTGGGGTTCTTGCAGCCGTAGCGCAGGGATAGCCGTCAATTGCGAGACACTCCGTATGATGCCGTGCTGACCAAAAGGCCGCAAAAAGTATCACAAGGACAGGTATGCTTGGCGGGGCATTCTGTTTGGAGCGGCTTTGTCAGTGGCCTGTAGCGCGGGTGTCCTTCTTGCACCCTGGACGCAGATGCCACATCGGAGCGCTGTGCGTGGCCGTGTGATTCTGTCACGGCCAGCCGGCCACCGCGGCCCCATGAGCAGCTGCAAGCG